ATTCAGCTTTCATAGTATGCAATCATTCAAAGAGCTGAATAGTTCTGCAGCTGTGGGGTCAACTGGCAACAAACATACATGTAACCTATCCTCCTGCAAAACGGAGACTGTGAATCACTTCCTGCAGTGAACCCATGACTAAAGCAGGATTCTTGGTATTTTCTTTTAAATGCAGTGTTTTGCTGGCAGCTTGGAGGCTTCTGCTGCCTCATCATTAGGTTTTTCTCCCTTCACAAAACAGCTCTCCACACTTTGGTTAGGGTCATCTTGTAAGCTTACCGACCATGTGACTAACAGAAATGTGTGGTATGGAAAAAAGGAGTGGATGGAAGTGGTAAATAAAATAATGGTCAGGCTATATAGAAGCTAAAATAAATGTCAGATTCTGTCTTAAAAGTTTGACACCAGAATCAACTGTAAAAGAGGATTACATCAACTCATTTGTCACTACAGACTCGGAAGACATACAGCTTAATTATCATTTGCCATTCACAGATAAATTTTGATATGAGTCTACCAGCAACTGATGTATTATAGTTTTGGAGCAGTCAAAGCTCTCTGCTAATGTGTGTTTGCAGCTGCTCTCCACAGCTAACATTGCCACCTATTATAGGTTATATCTATCTAGATCCCCCCCAAAACTCATATACTCATTGGTTGGGCTTTTGGGAAGCCAATGCTGAGGGGAAGTGACTGGACTGGGGTGTGTGATGATGGACTAAGGGTATGGTACCTGGATTAATCCACTGACTGGGTTAGCACAGTCCTGGACATAGATAATGGGAGGGTCAACCTGGGGTGTGAGTGGCACTAACTGATAGGCTTGGAATAAAGAGAGACAGGAAGGCTTGCTGCTTCCTGCTTCTGGCCTGCCCTGCCATAGATGGTTTCCTCTCTCCCATGTCCCTCTCTCATGCCACCCTACCTTGGAGCTATCTCACTATGGACTGAAAGCCCTGTAAACTATGAACTAAAATAAACCTTACCTCCTGTAACTGTAGGTGTTGCGTATTTTGTCCTAGTAACAAAAATGTAACCTTAAGATGTCACGTCAACTCCATCTTGGATTAGATTCTCATAAAAAACATGCAATCTGGATCCCTTGCAAGCCCCATTCACAGTTGAATGTGTGCTCCTACGAGAATCTCTTAATGTCTTTGATCTCACAGAAGTAGAGCTCAGATAGTAATATGAGCAATAGGGAACAACTGAAAATGTAAATGAAGCCTCATTTTCTCACCCACCCCCTCGCCTGCTGCTATGTGGCCAAGTTCCTAACAGTCTGCAGCCTAAAAGTTGGGGACCCCTAACCTATAGGTTTTAAAAAGGCAACTATTATGAGAAGCAATTAGTTTAAAAAAAATCCCTCTGCAAATGAAAGTTACCTTCTTAATAGATACAAATAACAAAAGCAGTTTGGTCTAGAACTTATGAATCATCAAAAAAATTAAAGCAGCTATATATAAAAGAACCTATACATGTGTGAACATGGTCCTAGATTCCTACCTCTGATGAAGTATCACATAGTTCTTGCTCACAATCAGAACTACCTGGGGCCAGAATGCAAATAATTTTTACTTTTCTGTTATTTAGAATCTATTCTGATAATATAGTAGTTTTACAAAACTGAAGACAACAAAAGTCAAGAGGGCAAAGCACCGTTCCTGTCTGCCAGTGACCGGCAGTACAAGCTCCCCATCTCGGATGCCAACCACAGCTATCTGAATAAGAAACTGCCTCAGAAGGTGGGAGTGATTGTATTACTTCATCACTAGTTTACAATTTACTTAGTAAAAACAGTCAAACATTGGACAAGTCCCTGAGCAGCACCGAGAAAGTTGTCTTTGCTTATTGCATTACATATAGAGGGAAAGTTATATACCACTACCCATGATCACTTATGAAACTAAAGCTGCCTTTAAGAACTTGGTCAGTCAGTTAACTTACTCTTTAGAAAAAAGCACAGGGATGAGGATTGAGCAGCAAAACAAATGCCGACTTAGAAACTAAAATCAAATTTGTATTTTACGGGAATACCTGGAAGCAACTTTCTTCAGGGAAAAAAATTTTTTTTCCTAGAGTCATTTTATGAAATTGCTACATGAAAAATATCAACCTTATCAACATAAAGGCTTTTTTTTTGGTGGGGGGGGTCTTTTTCCTTTTTATCGGTACCGGGGATCAAACTCCGGACTGCCTCTTGCCCAGCAGGCGCTTATGCCATTAAGCTAAATCCCCAGCCCCCATAAAGGCTTTTCAATAGAAACACTTTACACTACACTACCTTTTCATAATGGTACAAAGTTGGGACGACAGAGCATGCCCCTGGGTGACAGCTCTGCATATGTCAACCAACTCCATGACTGAATTCTGTGCCCTGGCTCCAGTATCAGGTAGCTAGCAAACAGAGCAGCAGAGGCACCGACCAACTGACTGACCTGGTAGTGCAGGAAGCCAATGCTGAGGGGAAAAAGGTAAGCCTGGAAGACTGGCGGACCCAAAAAGAAATTACGGACCATGCCAGCAGAGCTAGCCCTCCAAAAAACTCATAACCATTATAAACTACAAAAGTTTTTAAGTGGGAGTTTACTCCGAAAGTGTCTCCCATGTCAGGCTAGAGCTGGAGGAGAAATTCCCGTAGCACCCATCATGTTGGAGAAGGTTTACACAGGAGCCATTCTGGGATGGGGTTAATTGTTGATTGAGCCATAGAACAAATGCAGAACTACACTTCTGGATTTCCAGCGTCACTCCACCATAGTGACTACGTGAGAGACAGCTACAAGAGAACAGAGTGCAGCCTAGACACAGAACTCTTGAGAAGTTTAGTCAAAGGCCGGAAAGAACAGAGGCCCAGCCTTCTACGGTGAGACTCTGGGCCCACTGTATGTGGCTTTCTGAGGCACTCGATCTGAAAGTCTAAGCATTAAGTCCAGTAATCTCCTTGAATCCTCACCCGCTACTTACATCCAGCAAAGACTACTGGTCTGATTGCCTTCCCTATCTACCAACATGACCAAGGACACACTTGGCTTGGATGATTGCTACCGTTTGAGTGATAGGGATGAAGCAGGGGCAGGCACCTCATAAACACAGAGCACCTAAAGCTAGGAGAGAAAATCAACTTCCTGGATACCAAGAGAGCAGATCCTAGAAGGAAATCACTGAGTGGAAGGTATGAAGGAATTTTTTTGGACTCAATTCTTTTTTTATTGTTTTCTCTTCATTAATTAGTTTAGTTCTTTGTTTGCTTATTTATTTGTTTGTTTGGTTATTTCTTTTTAATTTTTCCTTATTTTTTTATTTTGCTCTTTTTCCATATTTTTCTTATTTGTTCTTTTCTGTTACTTTTGTCTAATTCTACTAATTTCCATTTATTCCTAATAGGATCCTTTAGTTCAATTTTTTCTCCTCATATTCCACTGATTAACTTTTCAAAACCTTTTTATTCTCCCTTTTCTCATTCCATCTGTACTAGTATGAACCATTAAGCTTTATTAATATTTAGATAATAAGTTAACCCCGTGCTATTACTGTTGAATACTTTTCTATTGTTAGTAGAGTTAGAGTTGTTCCATTTTGTAGGTATTTACTGTATATCAACATTTGATTTGCTTCAGTGTTTATACTATAACTATAGATCTCTTTTCTCTGGTTAAAGTTGGTATACTAATGTTTCGTAAGGTACATCGATACCCAGTTTGTCTTTGACGCTATTATTGTTGCTGATTTTACTGTTATTATCAGAATGGCACGGTTGTTGCTATGAAGTGATTTTCTCTGTATGCCAATATCTGGACTGTCTCTATGTCATTAAAAATACTGTGGCTCACTCTCAGAGAACTAGGTGCTGGGTTAATTACACTGTACCCTCCCCAGAGAAATGTCTGGATCTTGGGATTAGTAACAAAGGCCTAGCCATACCTAGAGTGCATTACTGAACAGCAGACACTGAGTAAAGAGATCTCTGTACTAGCAACTGAGATGAGGCGTCCAGGACAGAGAACAAAAAGAGATGGGTCTGCAATACCCAAGCTTCCCCAGCATCACAACTAGGTTCTCATCACCTCTTGTTTTGACTAAATGGAAAAATGACGTAAGTATGTAAGAACAAATGTGTATTCACAGAAAAAATAATTCAGTACCTTCTTTGCCCCTCCTCAGCCCAGATGTCACATTTTCTGCTAAGACAGCCCACTGCGCTACCTCTCAGGTCATCTCTCCATGATTTAACCAGAAACGCACACACAGCCTTTCCAAGCCAGGCAACAAAGGCCTGGCTTTTGTGTGTTCCTCTTGTCAGTTGCCACTGGAGCCATACGTGATGGACTGTCACAGCAGACTTCTCTGAGGCCTGTATGGCCACAAGGAGCATAGGCAGTACAATAGCTGCTAACCAATGGATAGCTATGTATCTTCTATATCATATAATCCAGCGTTTACATTTTCTTCTTATACTTGAATAAATCTGTGTGCACACATCTTGCAGGACTGCTGCTCTGTGTATAAGTGTTGAGGGGTGTTATGTGCATGTGTGTAACAGCAGCTGCTGCCAGTCAGAACTGAGAAAAAGGACTTCAATATCCTCTTTCTAAAAGCCTCTCCTCTTGAGTCATAAATATGATCTCTATACAAGTACAGTCGGTTCTTGCTTAAAGTGTAGGATTAGATTCTCCCCAACTGGCCTTGAATGTGGGCTAGACTAACATGAGGAAGAAAAAGAAAATATCTCTGTGTACTTTTATCTTAGATATTATGTGTCACTGGAGACTCCCTGACTGCTGACCACCAAGTAACAAAACTGCTTCATAATATTACTTAAATAAGAAAGGCCGATTCAACTTTAAAGAATCACTGTAACATGGTATTTTCCCGACTTGTTACATCTATGTAAACAGTATCTCTGAAAAAAAAATTAAAACCAAAAGACTATCTTACTTTGTTTTGGCATCAAAATAATTTAACTATTTTGTTAAACCTGTGTTAAGGAAATGGTTTACCTTCCAGCATTTTCTGCAGACTGTTCCTCATGACATGGATGTTCTCTATCCCGATAAACTGAAACTTGATATTGGAATAATTGTCTTCATTCTCATAGCCTTTCCCTGCAGCACGATTTGCCATTGCATTAAGCTGCAGTGGTCAGCAAAACAGAACAGGCATCAATTACATTTAGGGCACCAAATAACCAAAACAACTTAAAGATATTCACAAACATTCAAAATGAAGTACACAAGCACAATACAACTAAAATCACTGGGACACTATGCTAAACTATGTAGCTTCAGGCACTCAGGCTAAGCTTATATGCATGAATCTGTTTCTTAGGTGGGAAACATTCCACAGATAAACCCTCCTAGAGATGCCCTTTGCAGTTCCCTGTCAGAGAAGCCAAACAATGTGGAATTCTGTGACACAACCAAGCTGCTCCAATTTAATGCCACACATGATAAGCTGCAGGTTGGAAGAACAGTATTAGCAGACATGGTTGTTGGTAAAAGGCTTAGTAAGTTATATCTTACAGTTTGATACTGTCAATAAGTATGCTATCAATTATGAATACTACATCATTCTAATGTGCCCACAAGGGTCCCTCAGATATCCAATTAAACCTTGAACAGGAATCACTGAATAAAATGGAAAGGGAATGCAGACACTCAATGTTGAGACTTTTCCTCCAGCCGACTTACTTAAATTTAGACATCTAATACATGTTTTATAAAATCATTTTCAACACCATTTTCATTAACTAAGAAGTTAAGAGATCTTAAAACAAACTGAATTAAATGATTATGGACTCTGAAAAATTTATTAAGCTCAAACTCTGGCCTAGCCCTGGGTAAAATTAAGTAGCAGGCCAATCTTGCCTTTGCTCAGATTTGTAGAATGGAGAGGTAAATGGTAATATTACACTCTTCTGACATGTAGGCCAGCACATCCTGGGAAACAGTTTTCCCAGACTGTGCTACTCCCCAGCCACAAAGGGCAGGGGAGCTGTCCCAGGCAGAGAATCCATGCCAGGACCAGCAGTCAGAACAAATACCCCATTCAGAGCACAATGCAAAGTAGTACTTTTCAAAAAGGTAAGTGGAGTTAAAAGAGCTAAATTATGAACACAGATATTTTGTGATCCAAATCTCTACTTCTAAGATTTTGACAAAATTAAAAGTACCAGCACATATATGATCCAGAAAGTTTAGTGTGATATTTTTATAATAGTGAAAATCTGAAAACTCATGAATATCTCAACAGGACAATGACTGGATAAATTATGGCTTGTTTATACTCTGGATCAGGGCACAGATCAGATATATATATATTTGCACATGTATGTGTATGTATAACATTTACATTCATACATACATATATACTAAACCAACAGAATATTCAAATAACCTATTTTAATAAAATAAGCCAACTTAAAATTATATATAATTATCTTTATACATATTCATTAAGCAAAATTAAACGTATAGCAGAATGTAACAATTTGACAATAGTTACAGCAGATGCTAAGTGGCAGGGGAATACTATCAATATTACTGTAGATACTCCTGTATTTTCACTGTTACAAAACACGTACGTTATGTTTGTAATTTAATTAATAGAAATAAAATAGCAGAGGGCAAGCCAGGGTCACAAGGGCTTACATTTCAATAGCAGCCCTGCTCCCTGGATTAGCGCATATAGCTGGCATCAGGTGGGAATATCTGCACCTTGGGATGCTGTCCCAGTCTGAACAGGCCTGCCTTTATTCTGGATAACTGATAAAAATAAAGGGTTTAGTTAAATCAAGAAAAAAATTAAACAGTGTATCTTATAGACAAGGTTCATATTTTGTAAAGCTTAAATATTTTAAAGGGGGGGCTGGGGATTTAGCTCAGCAGCATAAGCACCTGCCTTGCAAGCAGGCGGTCATGAGTTCGATCCCTGGTACTGATTTTTAAAGGGAATTTTTTTCAAAAATTATAGGCATTCAGAAATCATGCATAATGAAATATTCCTTTTTATATAATTATTTTTCAAAGCTACTGGTTTATTTCTTATACCAACCTTCATAAAACAAAACAAATTGACAGGATACTTGCAAGTATCTTTGTCTTACATAAACTTTGTTTATTCTTTATCTTGAATAATTCAAGTTGAACCAACTTACCACATGTCAAAGAAATACTCTGAAAAATATGTAATAAATAAAAAGCAAAATAGTATTACTATTATCATTACTTTAATAATTAAAATATACTTATTAAGACTATGTTCATACTTTAAAATAGTATGAATGAAAGACTTGAATTGTAGTCTTATTTAAAAGCAAAGGAGCAAATGCAAGAAAATCTCCTGAAAGCCATTGTGTACTTCACATAATGAACAAAAGATGGCACTATTTAATCTACATTCCAAAATGATTTTTTTAGGACTTCCATCTATTTTAAAAGATCTATTACAATAATATGGCAAAAGTTGAACCCTAAAAGCAGGTAACATTATTTTACAATTAATATATCTCCAAAAAGTTACCCTATATTATGTATGTATTATATACATGAAGTTTGTATATACTATTTTATATTTAACATATGTACTATATTTAGGTGAATGAGAAGTGGGGTAGAGAATGTGACTCATCAGGCTCACCGATGGCCACATCCCTCCCCTTGTTCATGACCCTACCCCTAATGGCACAGAAGAGATATACTGACTCGCTAACCAATGAGATAAATGACTAACAGAATGAAGTGAGAAGTGAGTAGGCCAACACTAAAGAAGTAGAATCAGATTCTCCTCCTAATCCTTAATCAAGCCTATGAAACTTCAGTCAGTGTGTACTTTATACGTGAGTAACAATATAGCCTGGTCTGGTGTTGGGAATGACAGTAACAGTTGATCTTGGCAGGAGAACTGGATACACCCTAACACAGGTTGTCCAATGATAGCTGTTTTTCCCCTTCTGTGTGTAATGGGTAAATGAAGAACTGCAACTTGTGATACACATGAAAACGTGATTTTATTCCTTGCAACTACTGTCTACAACTGAGCTGGTCAAAATACTCCTTTCCCATTCCCACAGCTTGGGTCAAGTTCATACTCAAATAGGAAATTTTCATCCATTTTACTTTAAAATTTCAACCCCTATATGATGTAAAACAATCTCTTTCCCCCCTTGCTGTGAAATACGTGGATTTGTGACTACTTTGTTCTGGGACTTGCGCCTTCCTCTCTTTCTCCTTCTCTCTGGGTAGTGAGTAGGGTAGTGTGGGAATCAGAGAAAATAAACAGCTCTTTGCAAAGCTTGACAAGGTGCCAATTTTCTCCTCATTGGTTGTCACTTCTTTTCTGGTTAACGTTAATTAATCTCTTCTTCCTCCCTTTAAAAACTGGTGGTTAACTTAACGACAGCAGAATTAAATCACCATGGTAGAATTAAATCACCCGGTAGAGCATAGATGTTCTACCTGAGGAAAGTTGCCAGCATAAACAGAGATGTGGAGAAGGAGAGGGGAGACATTGTGGGTTTCTCTGAGTGTTGCTGTTTGAGCCGTTGGTTCTCCTAGAGGAGCTCATCATGACTAGCTTCCCCAGTGTGAGTTGACCACTGCCATCAAAGGAGCTTAGGACCTTTTTGGTGAGAGTGGCTGTGGTTCACATTAGGGGAGCTCTGGTCCTTACATAGAGCATTGCTTCCTGGCTCTGGAGGGGAAGATGTGTGTTGTTTAATCTCCAGGAGCAACTCATCACGCTAGCTTTCTGGCACATACTCCTCTGTTCTTACAGCTGGAGGAGCTCGGGACTTCTGTGTCACTGAGGATGGCTGTGGTACTTTTCAGGAAAGCCCTGGTCCTTGTTTTGAGAGTGACTTCTCCGCTCCAGTGTAGAACCCTCAACCTACCAGCAATGCTCCTTCATCTTGCTGGCAGACTTTCTAGCTTCCACCTTTGGGCCTTCCCAACACGAATCCGTAAAAGAGACTGGTGTGGATCCTTCTTGTGGTTCTCTCAACCTTCAGTTGGACTCATGGGAGGCACTGTCATGGACTCTAGTTTTCATCTGGACTCATGTAGGACATTGCTGTGGGATTCAGGCCCTTGGCTGAATATTCCTGTCTTTAGTGTTGTGGACAGATTTCTTGAGGTAACTCTGGGTGATCATCATAAAATAGTATTATAAATTCTGTGTCTGATTCTAATTGTTCTCTGTGCAATCCCTGACTACAACAATATTCAAATGCAGAATCTCTTAGGCATAAATGTGGGTTTCTAAGGACAGGGAGCACACATTTCACTGGTGTGGAAAATGCACCTTGACATGAGCTATTCCAATCCCCTCACCATTCCTTGCCATTATAAACCCACCAGGACCCCTAGTATTGAAATCCTCTTACGAGGGTTTTGGCAAGATGTTCCTGTCCAACTGACCACAGGAAATATCCCCATCATTGCCCTGACAAACAGCAGCAGTGCCAACTGCCCCACTGGCACTACATGGTGCCATCTCTTGTATCCTCTTTCTTCTGGTTGCCAAGATGCCTGTCTGCAAGTCTGATGCCCACCTGATGCAAAAATAAGATCCAAGATCCCCTTTTTAAGGTATCTCAATATACAGTATTCACAACAGTATTTCCCAAATGCTGCCTTCCAAGGATTCAGTAAGTAGACAATATCTGATCACCAATTCCAGCAAAATACAAAAGCACCATGTAACATTTCATTACACTGACATGTGAAACTAGAGGCCATGACCACAAAATGATCTTTGGAGACAGAAAAGGCTTGAGCGTCTGCTGAGGCAGGTGCCTGTCAACCCTGATCATTCGCTTCACATCTCAACAGTTCTTCTACAGTGACTGGTGTCAGAGCTCAGAACACATTCTTGTGCCTTTGACCCTGGCTGACTTGATGCACTCATGGCTGGTTCTTCGGCTTTGACGTCACTGGGTGTGTACTCAGCGCAGAGGTGGCAAGCTTCCTGAGCCTTATGGTAGGAACAAGGTTACACTGGGGATGTTGTGCAAACAGAAAAGCCACCACTATCAAACACAGCAGTAGCCGTGGGGTCAGATAAGCCTGGATTTCAATCTGAGCTCTGCCTTGAACTGTGTGATCTTGAGTGATACTTAACTTCTTTAAACCTAAAGCCTTTAGTTAACCCTCGTTTTACAATTTAACGAATACTGCATCAATACTTTCATATTTTCTTTTCTTTTCTCTATTTTTGAGGGGAGGAGTGCCAGGGCTCAAATCCAGAGTGCTATACCAACTGAGAAGTATCCCTAGTCCTTTTTCCAAGACACTTTTGCCTGGCTGGCCTCAAGCTTGAAGTCTTTCTGCCTCAGCCTCCTAAGTAGTTGGCTTTACAAATATGTGGTTTCATATTTTATTCATGCAACAAACTCTAGCAATAATATACCACCTCAAGGACGTAATTTTTTGAACAGAAATTTAATGCATACTTAAGAATCTCAATGCCTTTGCTTCCCACTAATTAATGTCAATAAGCAATTTTGGAGGCTTCATCTGAAAGGCAGCTCTGGAAGCTCTCAGGTAGGGCTAGCCTTGTTCAAAGGACAAGAATCATCAGGATGCCTTATTGTTCTTTTTAACTAAACATATGAGTAAACCTGGGAAGTGCCCATCTGCAATTGTCCACAACTGTGGCAAACACCCACTTAATCTCCTGGTTACCAAGGAAGCCTGATACATTCTGGAACAAAAATCAACAAATATGATCTTTTCAAGAATAAAAGCTTGAAGTAAACAGTTAAAAAATCATGTGAAGTACATGTGCATAGGTAAATATGAGAAGAGGGGCACCAATTTTCTTTAATGGATCAGTGTCAAGCTTATCACTAAAAGTAAATACACTAAGTGCTAAATATACCTTTCAAATCAAATCCTTCGGATTAATTTGTTTTAAATCTGGAATATGCCTGGCCCTACAGCTGCCACATTCTAGGGAGGGCTTACATAACACAGTACCAACTTGGGACCACTGATTCTTAAATTAGCAGGTGAATCTGCTTATTTTTATGTAAAGCTGGCAAAACTGGATAGCAAAAGGGCTTTCTAGTCTCCGTAAAACCTGTGTTTTTTCCCCTTCCTTTTTTATCTTGTTTTCAGAGTATCTGTCTGAGAACTAGGCATACATTCAATCATCTATAACTATTAGTAAATTCAAAGCAGTCTGCCTTATAGAAAGGGATAAAGAAGAGGAGGGAAAGTACTCAGGGGCGAAGGAAAGTTAAAAAGCATAAGCCAGAGAAAAATGCACAAATTTAAATAGAAAGTAAAAGTCAGAGATTTTACTGGCACCTTTCAAGAGAAAATCTTCAAGCAGAAAAGCCATTTTTGATTCTAGGTTTAAGCTTTTCTCTGTGGGCTTTGAGAATTTTAAAAGGAAGGAATGATTTATATACAATCCACCAAGTATGAATGTGATGTAGCCCTAGTATTTGTTTCATTATTGATCTTCATGACTGGTTCACTGATCTGGAGGCTGAGAGAAACTCCCTTCACACTACTGCACACACATGTATCCTACCGTGTACTTTGATCCAAAAAAGACAGACTGTTCAGAGGCAAGTGCATCAGCAGAACACTGACCTTACTCTAGGGAAGTATCCCATTAAGTGGCGCTGAACAGGAACCACAGTATTTGGGTGCAATGAGACCAAAAGCAGTGAAAATTACCAGGTCTGAGCATTTACACAAAACAACATCCAGTTCTCACAATGCCCATGAGTACAACATCCACAATTCTTAACACAGGTGTGCTTTTAAGTGCTTTTGCTGTTGGGCCTGTTCTTTTTACTTCTTGTAATGTTTTCATTACCTTACATTTAAAAAATGTTCCACTGGCATATAATTCACATGTCATACCACTCACCCATTCAAAGTACAAAATTCAGTAGAATTTGGTATATTCACATTGTTGTGAAACCATCACCATAATTTAATTTTTGGATATTTCTATTGCCCCAAAGAGAGATCATCTACCACTAGCCATCACATCCCATTTCTTCCCTTTCCCTCAGCCCTATGCAACAGTTTATTTTCTATCCCTGTGAATTTGCCTATTCTAGACATTTCCTGGCTATATATTCACCACACTAATAGACTGTTTCCATGCCATGAATCTTACAATATAGTCCTTTATGACAGACTTCTTTTTCTTTCTTTCTTTCTGTTTTTTTTTTTTTTTTTTTTTTTTTTTTGAGACAGGGTCTTGTTATATAGTTCAAGTTGGGCTCACTTTGTAGGCCAGGCTGGTCTTGAACTTGCAACAATCCTCCTGCCTCAGCCTCCCGAGTGCTGAGGTTATAGGCGTGCACCACATCATGCCTGGCCTATGACAAACTTCTTTTACTTAGTGTAACAATTTCAAGGTTTACTTATGTTGTAGAGATTTTCTGGCCTTTCTTATATAGATATATATTTTCATTTGTCTTGGTATATACCCAGCAATGGATTATATTATGCACAGCTTCTGGATCGCACTCATTATTCAGTAGCACATCTGAGATTCCGTTCCATGCCCATACACAAAGACAAAGTTACAGGCACAACTTCCTCCAGTCACTTATGGAAGTAGCCATTTTTTCATTACTGGCTAGAAACTACAACGTCAAATAGGCTGCCTAAAGAGCATTGCATTCTGTCCCTCGTTTTGTGCTATACTTCACCACACTAATAGACTGCTTCCATGCCTTCCCTGGCACATGCCCCACATGTTGACTGGTTTTGAAAGAACTGGGTGTAAGAAGCAAAATTGGAAATGGCACCCAACACTCACTCTCCTTTAAAAATGAAAAAGACAAAAAAAAAAAAGGTTGAGCGAGAAGGAAGTGTAAAATTAATTTGGCTTTACCCCTCAATGACTAACTGTTAGCTCCTATTGGATGTTTCATTACATTAGAAAATTAATGCATTAGCACACATGAAATTATAAAATAGTTTTCTAAAAAGAGACAAGTAGAAAGTTTTCTACCTTCTCAAATCTTATTTTCTTCTCCATGCAATTTTAATCGTTTAATGTTCATCTTTTTGTATTTTTTCTACAAATTTTTACCTATCTAAAGGTTTTCTAATAAACTACAATAAAATATGTATTATTTCATGACTTTCATTTTCTCAACATTATGTTTTATAGATCTTTCCAAATCACTGGTATAGGTCACCACAACAGTGATATACCTCATATAAACAGAATAGCTGGGGCTCCATAGTGAACTTCCTATTGTCAGAGCAGAGAAGGATGTTTTAGAGACAAATCAAATAATAACTGGGTATACTGAGGAGAGCAATTACTAAACTTAAACCACCCTCATTTACTGTGTGCCACACTATATGTTCAGCACAATATTACAGGGAGGGAAAATATATACAATATACTTGACAAGGTCAACCCGTTCAGGAGCTTAGGATCTCCTGAGAGGAGCCCAGCAGGGCACTCTGCAGATGAAGCAGCAGGAGCCAAGTGGCAGCAGGTTCACTAGGCTGGACTCCAGCTTCAAGACCAAGAGACATGCAACGGAATGCTGATACTTACTTTAGGTCGAGTGTCCACAACATAAATGAAGTCACTTCCTGGATTGGCTTTCCTGATGGCCTGGAGCATCTGCTCATCCTCCAGGCATCGGGCACTAAAACCAGACAGGGGCTGGCTGCTCCTGCAGATGGAGGCCTGGGGGACAGGACACAGCAACACAGCACTGTCACGCGATTATGCCCTGCGTAGACCCCTGGGTTGTCTCTGGAACAAAGATTCCCTGGTTCCCTTCTATTCCATACCAGCTTATGGAAATTTAACAATTTCTGGCAATTGAGATTTATTTTTAATTCAGGTTAAAGAAACCACAACATGGGCGAGCAATACAGAAACACCTTCTGTTAAGGAATGTGCAGCCATGTTTAGATAACATTCAAATTATGAAATTTAAAGCTATTTAACTAACCTACTTTCCTTTTCACTGACATTGTTTCATTTTTCTACTGAAAGTAGAAAAACAAAATAACTATTCTCCTAAAACTTACAGTATACTCTTAATGGCAAGACTAGAAAAAAATATTTTTAATGTTTTTCATAATTTTCTAATGAGACTAATTTTGACAGAAATTTGTTCATCTTTTATTATTTAGCAAATGAGTCATGTTAATTAGATATTCAAAAATATCACTCACTTTTTTCAACGTTTGACTTCCTCTGTGTGTGTGTGTGTGTGTGTGTGTGTGTGTGTAATTTCTCTGGATGTTTTTCAATTTTTATTTTTACTAGTACATGTTTGTGTTTTTTTCAGTTATTTTACTAGTACATGTTTGCAATTTTTATTTTTACTAGTACATGTTTGCAATTTTTATTTTTACTAGTACAAGTTTACTAGTAAACTAATGATTACATAATAATTGTATTCTTCATGGGACTTGGTACCTGTACATAACACATCTTATTATTTTGTCATCTACCTAGCCTATTTAAAAACATCAAGAATATCAATTCTAATTCTAACTGGAAACTTTTTGCTATAATAAAAGCTCAAGTCAATGACAGGTTTACATATCTGTGCTGATTTAAGTATGTTTATAAACAAGCTATTTCTTTGGTATAAGTCTGCATTTTATCTTGCAATTCCTAGATACTGTGATTCTAACATAATATGGTTAGCAGTTTATATACATAGATTCTGCATCTGTGGATTAAATTCATGTGGATCCCAAATATTTGGGAAACACTGTATGTCTTTATGGGTATTATCCAGACCTTTTCTGACATTATTTCCTAAATAATACAACATAACAACTATTTTACATTGCATTTGGTGTAAGTAGTCTAGAGATGATTTAGATCATCTAGAGAAGAATGTGTGCACATTGTATACAAATACAAAAGTGTTTTATATAAGAGGTGCTCAGACTTTGGTAGCTGAGAGGGATCCTAGAATCAATTCCCTATATACACCAAGCGATAACTATTTATTACACTATTAGATAATATGCAGAATGGCATAAACATTTCAAGTGATGAATAAATGAGTAAAGATAAACTTGCAACTATAAAACTTATGCTTTCATGGCAAAGTATTTCTTACAGATTTAGGATTTAAGTTAAAAACAAATCTCCTAATTAAATACGTGAATGACTCAAAGAATCCACACTGAGATTCTTAAATCTACCGTGTAAGATTAATGATGGTCAATAAAGAAGACAGCCCCTTTGGATGGGCCAAGGGGACATTCACACTGAAAATTACCTGATATCACTGCCTGCTCAGGAAGCTTGCATGTAGGGCCCTATCTATGAAAGGGTGTCCCTGCTGTTCTGAATTTAACCCCAGGTTTCCTGTGCCTAGAATCCAAGTCAGGACAATTTAGCAAGGGGCTGGATTTCTCCACATAAATGTGAGTTTCAATATTCATCATTAGAGGAGGTTGGGGATATTTTTCACTAGCTATACTAACCAAAAATTGTAGACTGGTGAGACATATGACTGTCTGAGGAGATCTAATACTATTATGTACAAGAAAAGGGCTATTTCTGATGTGGCTAAAGGAAATCCAGGCCTGAAATCTGATTAAGAACTCAGGGGTACTAGTGTGTGAGAAACAGGAAGCAAAGCAGAGGCAGCTGACTTAGCCCGGAGTTGTCTATTTCTTAAGCAAAGGGAAGCAAAAAGGACTAGAGATTCTGAGAATGAGAGAGAAGACAGCAAGCTAGGGCAAGGTCCAGAAGCAAGATAAAGCAACAGCAGGGATGAAAGGGGACTAGAGAGCAAACACAAGCTGCCTTCAGTGGGTAGAGAAGAAAGCACCACATATGCTTTCTGGGGGGTCCTGCTTCTTTCATTTTTAAAATGTCCAGTGCGCCAGATGTCCAGTTCTGATGGGACAGAGAATAATTCTGCCTTGGTTTTATAGGATACTTTATCTGAGTTAAGAAAATATTACTTAAGGATACCTCCTACTAAGTAATCTGCTAGATTCTATCAGAAGAGTCAGAAATGGGTAGGAACATTTTCAAGCACTTGTCTGAGAATCCATACAGCTATATACACTAAGCTAATAAAATTCCAAATATGAAATGAAGCAAATCAATGACAACCATTACTATCTTCTAGGAGACAGCAGCTAGTTTTAAATGAGAGGTGATGTCAGAACAATTATACTATGAAATGTGGTCAATAAATTAAACCAGACATGAATTTATTAAACAGATTATATTTTTGCCATTTTGTAGTTCATTTTCTTAGTAACTTCTGATGTGCTCCAAATTCTTCATTCGCTGAGTTACTGCAGCATGGTTTTCAATTTTTCATAGAATAGTGTATTGGCTCTGAGCACTTCTGTGCATTCTGTATATTCCTAGACAGTGTTACTACTGAGAGAGCACTACCATCACTTGGTATCATTTCTTTTCTTTTACCTTTCTTTTTTATTTTAAAGGGAATAAAACAGAACAACAAAACATTGAGAATCTAAGATTGGATTTCAAAAACAAGACAGTTGGGAAACTACCATAGTTACTATATTGCATATTGCCACCCTCTAAATAGTTGCTTAGACTACTGGCTCTAGGCTTACAAAATCAAGTAAATAATACAAGCTTTAGGTTGTTTCTTTACTTCAGTTGCTATCATCTCAGTCTGTATTCCTCCGAATCAGTCAGTTGCTTTCAGGAGTTTAGGGGCTGGGAGTTTTCTTCTCTCCCAGCCCATGTGCTGGCTCCATGGGGGGCAGGGTGCGTAGGTGTGGTATCCATCCTGGTCCCCCCTACCCCTCAGGCCTGCAGGGCTTCCACTGGCTCATGGGGACAGGTAGGGGTGTGGTTTCCACCTCAGTACCATTTCTTATGGATGTCAGTGACCTGAGAGCAGAAATTAAAACCTCCCTAGTGGTACACTGTAAAGATGCCTCTTATTTAAATGTTACTAATTAAAATATCCAATATTCTTGAAAGGTTTATTGGTAGGCACTATTATAAGAAATTCATGTATTTTTATTTAGTCTTCCTAATTATCATTATAGTAAGAGCTGGTATTATTTTTGGAAGAACCACCCAAAGCACAGAGAGGTTGAAGAACTTGTTCAAAGTCATATAGTAGCAACTAGAGAAACCAGAATTTGAATCCTGAATTCGTAAAGAAAATAATATACCACCTTTGGAAAGAAATAAGTCAGACATCATGATGTATAACATTAAGAACAATATTCCAGAAGATCTACCTTTTAATATTAGTTTTGTTTTAACTTACTATATGATCTTGGGCAATATCTTCTCTGAGTTTCCCATCTAAAAAATGCATAATGATATTAAAAGGGTGTGATAAGGTACATAACATTATAATGCCCTTAGAGCTGTTCCTAACACATAGAAAATTTTCAATAAATATTAACTATAAAAAAAGAGTGAGAAGGTCTCTTAAGGAAGAATGTCCCATGAAATATATTCAAGGGTTTTCTGTGCCAGAAATGTATGCTGTGAATTCAGAATGTACTGTGCACAGCTTAAAGCAAAAGAACTGTAAAAAACCTGCAATATAATAATAAAAAACAAAGGATACAGTAATTCTAAGGGTTCTCAATTATAGACATACACAGAGCACAGGGGACATTTTCCCATCTCTGTGATTTGTACAGCTGTTTGATTCCAAAAGGAGACCAAGTGTTTTTAAACAGTCAGTGTGTGCTGTAAGGCCCAAAATTAATATTGTGGGTTGCCTTGATATACAGTAAAACTCAGAGGGCCTGATCACAAGCTCTCCTCAATATCTGCTTCTGCAGACACAGCTTACTGTTAAACAATTCTCCCACCCCAGTGGATCAGGTACAGCTCTGTTTACCCCTGAGGATGGTATTCAAACAAGCTTATCCTCTATAGCACCCCCTTACAGCTCCTGGTAGTCACTGTTCCCAGGGTAATCTCCATGTGGCCTTCTATGACTTGTAGTGTCCTTCCTCCCTAGTGAGAGAGTCTATGTGACTAATAAACTGCTTTGGGTGTCCTCTGTCAACTGCCAACGCTCATGCTTATGGCCATCACAATACTGCTGAAGTGGGAATCCCAAACTCAACAATGAGTGAACAGAACACATTATAATACCACTTAGGAGGACTTTAGATTCATAACATGGTGTTTATTTCAAGCTTCTCTTAATGAAACACCAATTACCACTTCCCAATATTAGCCAGATCATCTCACTATCAAAATAAGTGTTCTTTTAAATAAAGATAAGTGAGAAACAGTATTTTAATAATAAAATATGATGCTCACAAACATAACTTTTATTGGGATAGGAATATATACTACTAAGCCTGAAATTTTCAAAACTACCAAATGGAAGAAAGATAAACACATTTACAGAATTTGTATCTGTTCATTTTTTTATGGAAGCTTGTCTGTTCTGGGGATAAATTTTTTTTTTTTTTTTTTTTTTTTGTCTTTTTCCTTTTTATCGGAACCAGGGATCGAACTCACGACTGCCTGCTTGCAAGGCAGGTGCTTACACCGCTGAGCTAAACCCCCAGCCCCTCTAGGGATAAATTTTAATAAGAAATGACCACATATAAAACTACTTTGACATTCCCCTGTCTTCTAATTAATCACAGAATTCTACCTTCATGAATAATACTATCCTTCAGGAAAAGTCCTCATTGAATCAGAACCATCTGTATAATGAAACTTAACATTAAAACCTAAACATTGTTACAAAGCACAAATCTGGCCATTATTTTTCAAGAAATACAGATTTTAGTGTGTAGGGATGGGAAAGCTGGTGCCATATACCTGACATTTAAAGTATTTCCCTGGGACAACCACACCATGCAGTGATACTTAGAAACACATCTCTCTTATGTACCTTGTGAAAAGAGCTAAGGCTTTCAACACAGGCAATCACTTATTTTAAAATGTAACTAGTTGCTGAGCCAGTTTACTTTCAGGCCTAAAGGTCAAGGAAAGAAAAATCCTTGAGAGCAGGAATGAGTGATTACGTCTGAGGTCAGTAGAAGAAGCTGGCTTCTGAGGTGGAACAACCAAAAATTTGACCATTTTTAACACATTATCTCCTTTTCCTGTTATAATACACTGACCAAAACAGGTTCCCTGGAGAATTTTAAAAAGCAGTAAGATATGTACTGTTTACAGTTTAAATACACTGCCCGACCCACCTCGGAAACAACAAGAAAAGAACTCCTCTTCGCATGGGCTCCTCTCTTATTTCTTTAGCAATGACTGCTAATAAAATATGGATGTCACCAGCATTTGAATTTAAAGTACATCATGAAATTCCACATCCTTATTAATTCTATTTTCTTTAAAAAAGGAATTCACATCATCCTTTTGCTTCTAAAAAGTGCTAAATTTGTGGGCTGAAATATATTTGTAGTTAAATAATACAGGGTGTTATTCAAATATTTCCTTTCTTTATACCATATTTCAGAATAGGGGAAGACCAAGAGTAGTGAGTGCAACCCAAGATGATTTAAATCCTTTTGATTAGCAGAACTCATACCAGTAAATTGAATACTGTCCTTAGGCTTACTCTAGTAAAGCTGGCATTGCTGGGATAGTTTTTGGAAGCGTCCTTTGCCATCTGACAGCTACTTCACCCTTCCCCATCCCTGGCTATAAGTGCATTTGCATTCATACTTACACATATATACACACACAGACACACACTCACACCTTCTCTCAACAGTTTACATCATTTGGATTTAAATGTAAAATAAAAGAAATCTAACTTTCTCACCTAGAGCTTAAGTGTCAAAGGCCATTTTTATTTCTCCAAATTTGTTTTCTTATCCTGCATAGAAATGCTAACGTTAGGTATTTACATGGCTACCCAATAAGACTATATTTTCTCACCTGCTTTGTGCAGCTCTGATGAATAAGATGTCAGCAAAAGTGTTACAAATGTTTCTTGACACCTTCTTCAAAACCCTCAGTGTCCCCCATTAGTTTCTCCTTCATCTGCTATTGAGGTGATGGCTGGTACTCAAGCCACCCCTTGCACCAGGCACATGTGGGCCAAACCCTAGTGTTATGGATTAAGAACTGGCGGTCAACTTAATGCCAGCTGGATTACATCAGCATAGCACTGGGCGAAGGCGCTCCACCTGAGGAAAGTTGCCAGCATAAATAAGTGGAGAAGAAGGGAGGTGTTGAGGGTTGAGGTGTTAAGGAGGCATTGTGGGTTCTCCTACGAGTTGCTGTTTGAGCCGCTGGTTCTCCTGGAGAAGCTTTGGTCCTCACACTGATCATTGCTTCCTGGCTCTGGAGGGGAAGACATGCGCTGCTTGGTCTCCAGGATGAACTCGTTACGCTGCTTCCTGGCATGTACCCAACTGTGCTTGTTGGCAGAGGAGCTCGGGGCCTCGGTGTCGCTGAGAATGGCTGTGGTGCCTTTCAGGATAGCCCTGGTCTTTGTTGTGAGTGTGACTTCTCGGCTCCAGCACAGAACCCTCATCCCACTAGCACAGCTCCTTCATCCTGCTGGCATAGACTTTCTGGCTTCCACCACTGACCCGTGGGTCTTCTCGGCACGGATCCGTAAAAGAGACTGGCGTGAGTCCTTCTTATGGGCTCTGGGCCTCCAGTTGGATTCGTGGGAGGCATTGTCCTGAGCTCTGGGTTTTTATCTGGACTCATGTGGGACATGTGCTGTGGGGTTTAGACTCTTGACTAAATAATCTATGTCTTTGGTGTTGTGGATAGATTTCCTGCATTTTCCTGTGTTAACTCCCGGTGACCATTATAAAAATATTATAAACTCCATGTCCTGAACCTAATTGTTCTCTGTATACAACTCCTGACTACAAACACCTAGGAATGGAAAAAAGCAGGGGGTGGCTTGGGTCTCTGATGGCTGGGTGGTAGACAGCCAGGACACCAGGTCTGGATTGCCCAACCTGCACAGTGTTATATTAGGGAAAATTAAGTTCTAGCCTAGTAAATCCAATGTCACTTAGTGTCTCCATTATAGACAAGTCTAATTCTAGTTTTTACAAATAATATTTATAATATCTATTAAAAATAAAACTCCACAAACAAAAATTTCTTGTATTGCATCTACTCAAAATAACATGACTATTTAAGAAAAGAAAAAGAAATATGTCACAGACTTCGAGGGCTTCCTAAAATAAGCATGCTCAAGGATCTCTATCACTGTTGAAATAGGCAGAGTCTCTCCAGGGAGCCCAATAGAAGAAAATAATGATTTTGTAGATGATTCAGGTTAGGTATTGTTAGAATCTCTCCCTTTATTACCAAATAAACATGAAAAGTCAGTACCTACAAGATAGAAAGATTTAAGCATATCTGGACTATGTCATACCTTATACAGGAATACCCATACACTGTTAAGAATTCAAATTCCCAAACATACACAGAGCAGCAGCAGCTAGAAAATGTGTGTTTGTGATAAAACAGAAAAGTAAAATGTAAAACAAGAGCATGCCTTGAGACTCACATGGTTATCTTTGTGGTAGTATGAAAGGGCAGGAAATCGCCGTCTACTCCGGAATTTGGAACTTCCCACTATGATGTGTGCAGTAGCTGATTTGGGAACATACAGCTCAGTAGGGTAAGAGTCACAAACCTATCACCAGAAAACACAAAAGGATTTTTAGGCAGTCTAACAATGTTTTCTACATTTCATTTCACTGTACTTACAAGTTGCATATTTAAGTTTTCTCAACTAGATTACCGAAGAGGCTATTTCAAGGAAACCCAAAGTCACCTCAGAGAAATAAAGTGCTGCTGATTCCATGTAATGATTCTGAGGGAACACTAAATACCCTGGAGTGTCCTGTCCTTGTACACTGTCTTCCCTCTCTGAGGGCTCTTTACATGAGGCAAGATAGTAAAAATTGAGCATTTCTTTCACTGAAAAGGAACAAACTGTAATTTTGCATCCTGGCAGTTGAGAAAACTTTCATTGCTTGTATTTGATAGAAAGATAGTCTGACATGGGGACAGTTTTCCTAAAATGTAAGTGCAGTCATTATCAGGTTACTTCAGCCTTCCTGGTACACAAAGTGCACATTCCTCTACCCCCCTGGACACCCCAACCCTCTGCCTTCTTAAATCTCATCCATTCTTCCAGAGCCAACCCAAGTTCCTTCCCTCAGGAAACCTCCTCCCTGGCCTTCCGAGTGCACACTGCTGATTTCTAGATCCGATTTCCTAATGGACCACAAAATACGCTGTAACAGCTTTATCTTGTGCTTTTTGGGTGTTGATTTTGTAAGTAGTGAAAAATGATTCTCCCTGGCAGCAATTACCATGGTGGAAACTCTGACGCCTTGTAATTTAGAAACAGATCAGCAGTTTAATATCTGGCTCTGATTTAGCAACTTTATGACCTTGGGAAAGCCAAATTACACAAAGCACTTTGGTTTTCTAATCTCTAAAACTGATACTACAGCAATAATATTTCAAAGGGTTGACAGAAGGATCAAATCAGATAACACTCCTGACAAAGTACACTATAATCCATTAGGGCCAAAACAAATGCCATTGGCAGCAACAGTTACAGTTGATACTGTTGCTCAACACGTATTTTGCCTTCACATCACTCTGTGCAATGTGAGGATGGCAGTTTCCTGGGCTTTGAGCAACTATTTATTTCCTGGAAGTCCGGTGTCTTCTTAGGAATATCAAGAGTCCTTAACTAAGCGTAGCAATGAAGGAAATACCTAATGTACAAATCTTTCCATATCCATCCATCCTAACCACTCTGGAATATAGGACTGAAGAGAATGAGAACCCACAAGAGGAGAGATCTCAGCGTCCTAAGCCCTCATCAATTGCCCTGCAATGACATCCTTCCTTGCCCATCTCTCCTGTCTTTGTTACCAGGCCAGTAATAGGACAGAACAGGAGAAAAAGGCCACAGAAGCAGGTCATAAGCCCAAAGTACTATATACATTCAAGATTTTATCAAAGACATGTTGGTAAAGAACGTTACCACCGAGTTTCTTATAGGCTTTGGCACTGACACTCTAGAGGGAAATCTTTACCAAGAAGAGCAGGGCCACCCTCGGACCCAGACGGCAGGAGGGACTCTATAAGACACTGCCTTGCATTCCAACCTGGGTCGCCAACCTGGTGTCTGACCCTGTCGGCCATTAATCAACCACACCTGCTAGTATGAGCGTCCAGCAACATGGAGTCATGGCATTTTCTTAAAATAAGTTTCTAAAACAAAATAAGATTTTGAGTAAGGAAGGAATTACATTTTATGACTAAATGAAGTAAAAGTAATAGGCGAGATTTCACAACAAACTTATTACACATAGCTTCTGAGTATCAGGAGGCGAGTAGGGACTTGAGAACTCCTGGCAGGCCCTCTGCTGTCGCTATGGCCAGAAAATATCCAACCTGGCTCAGGTCATGATGCAATGGGCACTGAAAGAGAAGATAAAAATCCAGGGCCCCTTCTCCCTTCAGCCAACCAACGGTATATACTGTTACTTGTGTTACCAGAACGCTGTTTCTTCACATAGTGGCAGAGAGCACAGCTTCCTGCCCTCCGCAACTGCCAGAGTTTTCACAGTCCAGAGTAAAAGAATGCAGACCTTCATAGCAGGGAATGTCCCAGAGCCAAGAGCCCAAAGCTGAAGTTATTGACAGTGGTCAGACTTGACTGGCTGTTACGGTCTCCTCTGTGGGGACACATCAGTTAGTTACAAGGTTTCCTGAATTCGTGGGAACTCCATGGGTCAGGGCATCGTTTTGTAAACATACATGTGGAGTACTAAGTAGCACTGTATAAGCAGACCCACAGCACCAATTAACTCAGTTTCAAAATACGCCTTTCACTGGGCTTGAAAAATGGAATTCTGCTGGACCCGTCCCTCCTCGGGAACAGCTGAGAGGCCCTGGAAAAACCTAGCCACCTGGGACTTCTGCCACTGGGCCTGCCCCTCCACAGGAACAGGTGGGCCACCCCAGCAGGCCCGGGTTGCCTCAGATTGCCACCGCGGGCTTGTTCCTTGGGGAACCCACTCACCTCCGGGACCTAGTACTGTAGAGGATTTTTGGATCCAACCCCTTCTTCCAGAACCTTGCACTACAGGAAATTACAGTGTTGGCTGGATGGGACTCTCAGGAACCCCTCACCCAAACAGAAGACAGCAGGCTCCAGTCAGTGTGGTGAGTATGCCTAAAATCAAGGTCTGCAGTGAGTAAATAGGAGCAGAAGTGAAACTCCCTCCAACTATAAGATCTTGACCAACCTGACAACAGAGTGGGTAACCGCCCCCCCCCTCCATACTGAGAACATCAGACAGATTGAGGAGTGCACCAATAAGGCCTCTGTCAACTTGGAAAACTTAAAAGAGCTTATGAGACACAGTAGGGCCTCGGCTGACGCAAACGCTATAAACAGGAAGAGCTGGTGCCTGCAACAACCTGAAGACATAGCAACAGCAGAAACTAAGAGGTAACCTACATCAATACTTCTAACCTAGTTAGCCCAGAAAGAATTTAGGACTCACGCAACAGGCTTTGGAGGACTGACTCTCCTCTGCAATGTAGCACCCAGCAACTGAATAAACATCAACCACAGAGTAGGACCTTAAAACTCACACTACGGACAGTTGAAACTGTTGGGACTGAAAGAACAAATATTTACCCAAAAGGTGAAAATGACAAAACAAAAAGGCAAAATGCAATCTCAAACATCTAGTCCATCAGGAGCAAGTACAGGCAATACTGAAATAGAGGACTATATAAGTCATACGCCAGGAATCTATGAAAAGAAAGCAAATGAATTAAAGAAACAAATCCATGAAGCTATAGAGGAAATCAAATTAGAAATAACTCTTATGCAAAAACAGAAATAACAACCTTAATAAATAAGTTGCTCAACATAACTAGAGAAGAAATAGAGAAAAAAATACAGGAGCATGGGAAATTAATTGAAACATTGAATGAACAATGCAGAAAACAAGCAGAATCCACAAAACAAATTCAGAGATATCCAAGAAACAAAAAACTCTACGGAAAGCTGGAAAAACCATTTAAATGAAGCTGAGGATAGCATTTCAGACCTTGAACACAGGATCACAGATAGGCATCATGAAAGGCATCATGTTTTTACAAAAACAACAAAGTAGCATGAAATGACAATCCTGCAGCTTCAAGACGATGCCAAGAGAAACAATATAAGATTAATAGGCATAAGTGAAGATGCAGGAGTCAATGCAAATGAAATAACTAAACTATTCACAGAAGTAATAGCAGAAAATTTCTTACCCATAGGGAAAAATCCTGATATACAAATAAATGAGGCATACAGAATGCCAAACAGTCACAACCAACATAAATCTACATCCAGACACATAATAATTAAGATCTCAGACATACAGCATAGACACAAAATACTAAAAGCTGTTAGAGAAAAAACATAGCTCACCTATCAAGTAAAGCCTATTAGAATCACAGTAGAATTTTCAGCGACAAACCTTCAAGTTAAGACAGCTTGGAGTGAGATATTTCAAGCCTTGGAAGAAAACAACTTTCAACTCAGATGGATACACCCAGAAAAACTGTCTTTCAAATTTAATGGAGAAACAAGATATTTCCATGTCAAAGAACATCTAAAGGAATTCATGTCCACCAAACCAACCCTAGAAAGAATACTGACAGACATGCTAGACAGATATAAAAAATGACCACAATCCCCAGAACTACAACAGAAAGAAACCACCAGGCTGGCTAAGAAAATAAACAAGGGAGAAAAGCCAGAAACCAGCAATAGGAGCACAACATGGCAAAGTCAAGCCAGTACATATCAGTGATATCCATAAATGTAAATGGCCTCAATTTACCTATCAAAAGAAACGGGTTGACAGAATGGATCAAGAAACATGATCTCACAATATGCTGTATACAAAAGCACATCTGACCCAAAAGGAAATTCACAGATTAAAAGTCAAAGGATGGAAAACAGTATTCCATGCAACAGGAACCCAGAAAAAAGCAGGGCTAACTATTCTATTTGCAGACAATGTGAACTTCAAACCTAAAATGATTAAAAGACATAAAGAAGTCACTACATACTAGTTAATGGAAAAATTCAAGAGGAAGAACTAACAATTATAAATATATATGTACCAAACAGATGCACCCAATTACATAAGACAGATACTAATGGACATGGAAAACCAAATACACAAGAACACAATTATAACAGGGGACCTTAATACCCCACTGTCGCAAAGAGATAGATCAACTAGATAAAAAGTTAGCAAAGAAATAATAGAACTGAATCATAACTGTGAACAACTGGATTTAAGAAGTTTACAGAGTGTACCACCCAACCACATCAGAATACACATTCTTCTCAGCTGCACATGTAACATTCTCCAAAACAGACCATATAATATCCCATAAAACATTCTTAAGTAACTGCAAAGGTATTAAAATTATGCCGTGTGTAATATCTCACCATAGCACACTGAAACTGAAAATTAATGGCAAAAGAAATCACAAAACCTGCATAAATACATGGAAATTAAATAACAATCTTTTGAACAACCAGTGGGTGACAGATGAAATTACAGAAGAAGTAGAGCAATACCTACAATTCAA